GGGGGGGAGCCTGTATGGATTGCAGCAAAATGTAAGAGGTAGGGTAATAACAAGCAAGCAAAAGGAAGATTTACTTACACAAAATCTTCCTTCTTGCTCAGTCAAAATGTAACCTTCATTCTTGTACAGTTCAAACAGAGCAAGCACATCTTCTCGACTAGTAGCAACATCAGAAAGTTTAGAACCTAGCTGCAACCGCTGCACAATCCTAGCAGCTGCTTGCTTAGCATTGACAGAAAGCACTTCCGTTTGTGTCTGAGAAGACTACATTAATCAGAGAATATAGTCTATTTTCACAGTTTACAAGTCAAAACCAAATGATATCTTTAACCAGAAGATGGCATCAACAGAGAAACTTTTGTCCCATTCTAAACAAGGACCACAGGTAACAGTTAGGGCCATTCCTACTCACTAGGTCATCCTCGATACTCATTGTTACTCAAGATTATGCCTATCTCGTGAGTTGCTAGTTATTACATTTTTTCCTTTTGTGTTGGAATAGGTTAACTTTTCTTAATTCTTTTTACTTGTTTACAGTGTTCCTACTCTTATTTGATGTTAGTAGTTGAGCATGAACACAATGCATTTATCCTCTATATCTTGATAAAACAGTTAAGCTGACCATATATTGGCTTTTTGAGGATATATCCGTCTTTTCTATTAGCAACTTATAGAATGATATAAGAGTATCCCTGCCTCCCACGCACCACCCCAAAATAAACATGTTTTATTGCATAAACATAGATCAGAATCCCTGCAGTGTAACTTATATTCGAGGATACATGAAAATTTGTTTACATAGTAAACCATCAACACACAAGGAATAACTAAATACAGGTCCTGAAGTTTGCTCAGATGTGCAGGGAAAATGTCTTGTGAAACTAGTAAAAGTGAACGCAAACTCACTTCATGTGCTGCCTTTCGATTTAAAAGAGCAGCTGGGAAAACAGGCTCCTCATCATTGACCTCTTTAACTGAAGGAACCAGACCACTGAGCAGATACTCACTGAAGACTAAACCTGTCAAAAAATAGACACGCTAACATAAGATTAAACAAGGACAGATTAAGTGACAAGTCTCAACTACTTATTAGAACCTAGTAAGAATTCTATTAAATTAAAACAACAAAAGATTGGGCAGGATCAGCATACCTAGCTAAATCATCAAAGACCTGTAGATTTCAATTTTTTTTTCCATTCTTTCTTCCCTTTTTCTTGTGTATGTGTTGTTGTTTTTTTTTGTNTCCTTAAGCTTTTTAACCTCTAGCTTGTCTCCCCCTTAGCAAGTCTATACAAGAGCATGGAGTGCCAAAAAAAACACAAATAACTCAGCTTTATCTCTTTTTTTTTCCCTTCCGCTGGTTACTAGATTTATCTTCTTTTTTCCATTCTTTTGTATTGTCAGATTTCGATAAATTGGATAGGTTCTTTGACGTACTATAGCTATCAGAAGTATCCAAGTGCACATGCTTACATTGGACACTTTTCCAGTGGTTAATAAATAAAGTCAATATCTATAATCCGTAACCAAATTGTAATGCTAATGTGATCAACGCTGCAAAGTCATGTCAATGCATATGCACATGTTCCGTAACTAACCACCATAACATCTTCACCTTTACTTATCTTACACATCATTCAGGATAGAAACCTACAACTAGGTCTGAAATGTACTTTCCAGACACTAAAGTGATTGCATTATAGATCATGTCTTGAACACTCATTCTTTTTTTCGTTTTTTTTTTTTTTTTTTTTATCAAGATCTTGAACACTGACTCTCTCAGTAGAAACAAAAAGAATAGGGCACTCTAGTATAAAAGAATTGACTGATATCAGTTTAACCCACAAAAAAAAAGCATAAAATACACGTCCTAGTGCTTTTAAAAATTGATTGATTTTATCTTAAGATATAATAAATAAAAAAGAGAAGTAAGTACTTGCTCGATAAGGATTTAAAGTCCTTAGTTGAATGGACTGATATGACTTCAGATTACAGAACATGTGGATCCAAGTTATCACTCCAAAAGAAGCAAGAGCAAGAGATGTAGAAGAGCGGGTGCAGTTAGCCAGTGCAATGCCAAGCATGATTCCAACTCCTTTGCTCACCATTCCTTGAGCTTCACCCTTTGCAATCACCTGACATTAGTAACTGATTCAGAATAGAAATGTTTTTCTTCCAGTAACTCCTCACAAAGCATATGCACAAATGTAGGTACAAGTGGTTCTTCTAGGGGAAAATTTTATTTTGTGTCTCATACAACTGACACTAGTTGTATGAGGCAACTTTTTTGTCTCACAGTTTTGTAGACCCAGATTTATGTGGACCCAGAAGTGTAAGATTGGGGTCCACAAATTTGTGAGACAAAAAGGAGCCTCATACAACTAGTGTAAGTTGTATGAGACACAAAATAAAACTTCTCTTCTTCTAGGTAATCAAGAGACAGGTTGGAACATAAGAAATTTCATGCCCCAAACATATTTTGACAACCAAAGCCAGTATATAGAAGTAAAGAAATTACCTCAGCGAAATTCCTCTGAGCAGCAAAACCCGCATAGAAGCAGCTTCTTGTAGCAGCCTGTAAGCCAAAGGTTTTTGTTTATTGTTGTTTATTGTATGAACCTTAATCTCATTTTTTTTTCTATTGGGGCTAGGGGTGGGATTTTGTGTGTGGG